TCCTCCTCCCCCCCTCCTCCTCCTCCTCCTCCTCCTCCTCCTCCTCCTCCTCCTCCTCCCTCTGGTGCTGCCCGGAGGCGGTGGGCCTGGTCTCTGGGGCGCACTTAGACAGCAGGCACTCAAATCGCCCACGAACACGTGCGCGTGGCGCGCAGCAGCTTGCGACGGCTGCAGCGGCACGTCGCGGCCGCGCGGCTCGGGCGGAGAGGAGGCTCAGGAGGCCAGCGGTGCCGTGGGCCGCTGTGCTGCAAGCTGCCTCGTGGGCCTCGGCGCCTCGGTCGAGGAGGGCGGGCCTCGGGAGGGGCCGGAGTGAACTCGGTCAGGGAATCTCGCGCTTAGCACAGCGCGGCCATCTCTGCGCTCTCGCGGGGCCACCCTGGAGGAGGGCAGCCCTCAAGCCCAGACCGCGAGGTGCGATTCTCGTCACGCCTCTGTGAGTGATCTGGCCGGCGTGGCGGGTGATTGTCCCCCTGCGGCCCTGTTCACGGATGGCTCAGGAGAGGCCAAACGCGCCGTGTCCCTTGGCGTCCATGTCGCCGCGTGGTCCCTCGTGACCTGGTGGCTCCGTTGCACACGGCCTCCGATGGCTGGCGGCTTCTTAGCGGAGCCCCGAGGCCAGATGTGTGCGAGGACCTGGCCAGGTGCCAGGTGAGAGGAATGCGGACTCGCTACACAGAGGCAGAGAGAGGGAGAGACAGACAGACAGACAGACAGACAGACAGACAGACAGACAGACAGACAGACAGACAGACAGACAGACAGACAGACAGACGGACAGACGGACAAACCGACCGACAGAGAGAGGGAGAGGGAGTGTGACAGAGAGAGAGGGGGGGACGTTCGGCGGAGATGGGTGGGGGCGCGGCGGAAAGCTGGGCGAGAGGCTAACAAGAAGGCGACGCAGGCAGACCTTCGAGGCGACATGGTCATCTACTTGTGACCATGCGCTCACTAGACGTGCCTCAAGAGTTGAAACATGCTAGAATGCTGGAGCACCTCAGTGCCCCAGAAACCCGAAAAAGGCTGTTGGCGGCGCGCAGGGGGGGGCGGGGGCCATGCGAAGGGGGCAGCCTCCTCAGAGGTCAGGAGACTCTAACTCAACACGAAAGAAGCCCCGACGCAGGCCAAGCACTCCGTGCGGACTTCCTCCGCACGGACTTCGCATCCTATCAGGAGAGGCTCCAGACGGAAGCCGGACAGTCCGTACGGACTTACTCCGCACGGACTTCGCATCCTCCCAAAAAGGCAGCCTGCCTCCCAGAAGCCCCCCTCTGCATCTCGGACTCCTCATGAGAACCCTCCAGGAGGGGCAGAACCCCTCTGATGACCATCCTGCCCCCTGGCCTTCTTAGAAGGCCCCCCCCTTCGCCCCACGGGCGGGATCGCGTCGCGACGTCGCCAGCGTTGCCCCTTCCGACACCGCGCGGACGGGCCCAGCCTCGAACGGCCGCGCCCTTCCGGTGCCGCGGATCGTCCGGCATCGGCCGCTTCCGAGCCGCTGACGTCGCTCCACTCCGATGTCCTACGCCCGGGTCGCCGCCGCGGCAACGCCGAGTGGCAACATCCGAGCCCTGCAGTGGGGGCCGATCCGCAACAGACCTTCCACAAGAAACCCGACCCTGAGACCCCAGGACGTCCACTGGTTCTTGGTATGGGAGCGTCACGCCTTCCATCGCAAAACCATCGAAGCCCAAGACACCCAGGGCACCCTGGAAGCAAGCAGGGTGCTCTTCGGCATGGGTTTCCGCTGTACGCCCAGGTCGCCGCCGCGGCAGCGCCAGGTGGCGACATCCGAACCCTACCCCCACCAGCTGTCGATTCTCTGGAGGCACTGGGAAGGCGGGGGTAGGACTCGTTCTTCGCCGCGTGTTCGACAAATTCCGAACCCTGCGTGGCATAGAGGAAGCGGGTCCTGAGGGAAACGGTTCCTGGAGCCCAGGGCCTCCTCCCAGGACCAGTTCTTCATCCTGGGTCGTTTCTAGCCAAGCCAGGGCCCGTGGAGGGCCCCGAGAGCCGTTTCCCTCAAGACGCCTTTCCTCCATGGCGACCTACCCTCGCCACCCATCGAGCTGCCCGAATCGTTAATCGGCGGGAGTAGGGCTCGGATTTCGGCACCGAGCCGCACGCCGACTCTAACACCGACGCCGACGCCGACGCCGCTGCCGCCGCCGCCGACGACGACGCCGCTGTTGGTGTCGGCGTCGGCGACGGCGACGGTGGCGGCGCGCCCCGCACTGCGCGCAGCCAGAGGTTGCCGCGGGCATGCGAGCAACAACACACACACACACACACACACCAAAAAAAACAAAAACCAAACGCAAGACCGCGGGCCCGCAGCCTCACGCGCCGCCCGGGACGCACCGATTCCTGCCGCGGCGGCGACCGCTCACGGCGCGGCTGCAGGGGAGAACGAGACACCAGACAGGGGCGATAGGACGCGGGCGAGAAGACAAGGACGATGGACAGAGACCGAGATGGAGACGAGGACGACGCACGTCGCACGGGGACGAGGAGGCGAGAAGGCCGAGGGGAAGGGGGGGGGAACAACCATCGGACGCGGACGAGAAGACGAGGGCAGTGGGGGCGGGCGGGAAGGGGGCGGGGACGGCGGCCAGAGGAGGACGAGGCGGAGGGGGCAGGGGCGCCGAAGAAGGCGAGGGGGTCGGGCGGAGGAGTGGCGCAGGAGAGGGGGGAGGACGGGGGCGGCAGGAGGACGAGGAGGACGGCGGGCGGGCGGCGGCGGCGGGCCCCGAAGAGGAGGGCGTCAGACGAGAGAGCGTCAACAAGGCTTCGGGCAGGTCTGGGGGGGCTCTGGGCCCGGTTCTCCGCCACCTCGTCCTCCTCCGTCCCGCTCCGTCCTCTGGTCTTCTCCTCCTCCTCCTCCTCCTCCTCCCTCCTCCTTCGCCTCCTCCCTCAGATAGTTGTCCACCTCCCCGTTCCCTTCTACGGATCCTCTCCCTCTCTCCCTCTCTCTCTGTCTCTCTCTCTCTCTGTTCCCATCCTTTCTCCAACTTGCTCCTCTGTGTCCTCCTCGTGTTACTTGTGTAAGTCCACTGCCACTGAACATACCGTCGCTTTGGCTCAAATAAGAAAGTCCAGCATCCGAATGCACCACAGAAGCTGATTGAACTTTCAGAGAAAATGCATCGCCATCCTCATCAAAACCGTTCTGGAAACCTTCCTCTACTCCATATCCTCCTCCCCCATCATTTTCCGGTTCCCATCTCTGCCTCTTCCCTCTTCCCCATCTTCCTCCCCTCGCCTCACAGATTCCTCCAGTCCCCTTCCATCCTCAACCTCCTCCTCCTCCTCCTCCTTCATGCCACATGCCTTCCCTCTAACTGTCCCCTCGCTTCCTTCTTCCTTCCTCCCCCTTTCTCCTCTACCTCCAGTCTCCCCGCGTCATCCGCCTTTTCCTCCTCCTCCTCCTTCTCCTTCTCCTTCTCCTACTCCTCCTTCATTCCTCCTTATGTCGTGCCCCCCTTTCTCATGCTGCTCCTCATCATTTTCATTATCATCTCTACTTCACCCCCCCTCCTTCTCCTCCTCCTCCAAATCATCAAAATCGTCATCGTCAACATCCTATTTCTCCTCCCCCTGCTCCTCGTCGTCGTCCTCCTCAGCATCCTCTCCTGTCTAATCCACCTCCACATGTTCCACCTCCTCGTCATCTTCATCGCCCCACTCCTCCGCTCCTATCCCTCTGCTGACGAGGACTCTACCAGCATCGGGTCCGACCAGACCCATGTGGGGCCCAAGGTCTGAAGACCAGTCCTGGCCCTAGGCGGCGGCCAAGAATGGGCCTGGCCAGCCCCGTTGTTCCAGGATGGCTGTGGCCCGCACCGATCTTGACTCCCACAATATCATTTGCGCCCGACGACATTCTTACCACAATCGGACCTAGGCCAGACGAGCATCCCTCAAGAATAGGAGACCCTCCGTCGGCAAAAATGCACAGAGCATCCAAGGGCTCCCCCCCAGGATGCACGAGAGCATCCACCAAATACGAAGATCACTAGGGTACCCTGCCCGAACCGACCTCGATCTTTTACCTCGGTCCCCCTGTAATTGGCGAACCACGACGCTCCTGCTATACAGTAGAACGTCAGGCAGTGCTTGGCGTCATGCGGCGCACAATTCCTGCACGCAGATAGCAGTGTGTTTACACTTTGTATACTACTGCCGACGCACCTTTGACGTGCATGGCGCTCTCTCTCTCTCACGACTCTCCAGCAATACCGTGGGATGTGCTAGCCGCAGACGATCCATCCTCCCGAGAACGAATCACGTGTGTGGTCTCGGTGCGAAAAGGCCCTGGGCTTCTCGTTGCAGGCCTGCTGGAATCCGAGAGCCCCCCCTGGCCATCGCTCGGGCGTTAATTCCCTGTGTTGTTTGTCGGTTTCGTACGTGTTTGTTCGCTAAATGGTCAAGGATGCTCCTCGATGGTCCTCGCCGAAGGAAAGATGCACACGTCCGAGCGATGCCAAGTCCCCAGGTACCGTCGACCCGCATGATAGGGGTGGACGGTTAGGACGCAGAGGGCCTCGGAGGGCCACGCTAACATGTTTCGAACGTGATTGGCTCGCAAGAATTGCACAGGGTGGGACGAAGGGACTGTGGTGGTGGTGGTGGGGGGGAAAACACAAACACACACACACACAACACACACACACACTGTGGGAAAAACATACAAAAAAAACAAACAAAACGTTTTTCTGTTTTGTGTTTTTGTGTTTTCCTTTGTTTTTTGTGTTAAAGTATTGTTTCACGCACCTGGGAGCGTCGCTCGTCCATGCTATGTGGATAGACTGTACCCTGCTACCGCTGAAGTTCGGTGGCGCGCCACAGGGGGTGGGCAGCGAGGAGGGGTGGGCCTTCTGAGACGGCAGGGGGCTTCGTACGAAGGATCGGAGGCCTCTGAGAAAGCTCCCTACCAGGCAGGAAGGCCTCTACGAGGTCCCCCTGCATCTCGGGGCCATAATAAAAACGACGTGGGTATCCTGAACACCTGGGGACTGCGGTGGCAGCTGATCGGGGCCACTCAGGGCCGCTTCAGGGCCACTTCTTCCCCCTGCCCGATCCTCGATCCCCCCCCCGTTGCCGTCCGCCCGACGCTTGCTGCAAGAAAGCCCCCCTGTCATGTGGGCATCGTACGCCGTGACCGTGTTGCGCAGCAGCATCGCCACCGTCATCGGCCCGACGCCGCCAGGCACCTCGGTGGGCACTCCGACGGCCCGGCGACGTGCCGAGAGCGTGGCAGGCACGATCAGCTCAGGAGGAACGAACGGGGAGACACCGGCGAATGAAGGGACACATCGAGCTGGAATCGGCGACGCATCGCCGACAGATCGGCGACAGGCTTCCGATAGCGAAGCCGCGCGCTCCTGGGCGCGGTGGGCTACGGGCGGGCGATTGGAGGTCGTCGCGTTCCCCCCCCCCCCTGAGCCTAAGTCAACGTCGACCCGGAGCCCACACATCTAGTGTCACCACAGAGGAGTCGTGGCGACAAGAGTTTGAAGTCTGGGCCTCGGGCAAACCCTCCCAGGCCCTGGGATCAACAAATCAACTCCGTACGTGACGAGGCCGAACTCACCGGAACAGGAAAAGGCCGGAGATCTGGGATGCGTGACCGAACGCACTGAGAACGCCCGCATTTGGGCGTGGGCGGCCTCGTGGGAGTCTCCCTCGCGCAGTTCCGCAGAGCAGCCGGACGGGCACCCTTCTCCGCAGACGTGCTGAAAGCAGTGTTCAAGAAGCCGCTGAGGGCGCTGATGGAAGAGGCACGCAGACTCCAGTCAGACTGTACAGTCGGCCCGTATCAAAAGGGTCCACGATAAGGATGCAAGGGCCATGGAAGGCCGTTCCGAAGCTTTCCAAGTGGGGCGCGGTCAACGAAAGTGGCCAAGGATGGACCGAGGAGGCAAGGATGCATAGCTAGTTACCCTCGGGAAGGTTGTCCATCCTTACCATGCGGGTTGACCCTATCAGCCTCCTCCGCCCTCTCGCTTTCACTCTTGTCCACCTCCTCCTTGTCCTCCTCGTCCGCTGAGTCCTCGCCCTCCCGCCTTCATCTTCGCTCCTGCCCGTCTCCGTTCCTCACCGGTCGTCTGACCTCGTCGCTGCTTCGGTTTACTCGGGCCCTGACCTCCGACGACGTGTTTCCCACCGTACAGTCGGACTTGACTGGAGAGGGCACGCGAGAGGACACGAGACCCTTCCGAGGGCCACATTGCCATAGGAATGCGAGAAGGCACGGGTCGCGAGGCACAGGACACAAGGTCAGACCCTAATAACACGATGAAGACATGGACTCACCGAGGTCCCGTCTTCGCATTGAGGATAACACATCTGGGTATCCCTCATGTTCCTGGCCCTCCTAACTTAGGTCCTCTCTCAAAGGGCTACGGGGTCATTTTTTGGTTAATCAAAAAGGTACCCTTGATCTGGCAGGGCCGACCTCCTACTCCGGGCCGACTGCAGGACCTGGAACTCTTCGCCTGGCCTTGAGCAGGGACCGACCGTCCCGGCATTCCTATAGTCCTACTACTACGAAATGTTCTTAGAACCCAAAAATGTTCTAATAACAAAACAATGTTCTGTTCTTATACCATAAACCCGATGTGATAAAACAAGACAGACTCCGCCAGAAATGTTCTAAGAACATTTCGTGGAAACCACAAAAGGTTCTTAGAACATTGTTTGGTAGGGCTATAGGCGAGCGAAGACGCTTCGCCACTACTTGATGGCCCGCTCATGGTCGGTCCCGGGCCCCGAGATAGGCCTCCCGAGGTCCGGTGTGGAACAAAAGCCGACGCCATGGTCCTGTCGCGACGTCCCGGGGAGGTCTCAGGGGGGTTGGCGGCGCGCACAATGGGGTAGGGGGAGGGGGGGAAGACTTCTTAGAAGGAGGCTGCTTCTTAGAAGGCGCCGGCCTTACATCTATAAAGAAGGCCCGCGCCTTCTAAGAAGCAGGGGTGCTTCTAAGAAGCCCTCCCCCTCCCCCCACCCCCCTCTGCGCGTGGCTGATGCAGGACCTGGAGCTCTTCGCCTGGACCGCTCATGGTCGGTCCCCGGCCCCGAGATAGGCCTCCCGAGGTCCGGTGTGGAACAAAAGCCGACGCCATGGTCTTATGTCGGGCGTGTCCCCCTGCAGGGCGATTTTCGACGAAAATTTTTATAAAAAATACAATCAAAATACCCCAAACAGGGAAAAATATTTAAAAAATAGTCCCCAGAGTATTTTCGTACTATTCTTTGACTATGTTTGGGGTATTTAAAATTTTTCGTTGAAAACCCCCTTGTAGGGGGACAGGCCCGACTTAACCATGGTCCTGTCGCGACGTCCTGGGGAGGTCTCAGGGGGGGGGGGCGCCGGGGTGATCCAGCCCGCGCGCTGCTTCGCAGACTCGAAGTCCACGTCGCCAACGAGCTTGCCGCTCTCCAGTCTGTTGATGCCCACGTCGATGACGACGGCGCCCGGCCGTATCCACTCGCCCTGGCTGGCCGCCGTGGTCTTGCGTGCCTCTGCCTCCTCCTCCTCCTCCTCCTCCTCGTCTTCCTCCTCCCCCTCCTTTTCCTCCTGGATGCTTTTCCACCGTCATGTTCTCCCCCCTCCCTCCAATCCTGCTGCCTCCTTTTCCAACCATCGTCCTCCGATCCCTCGTTCTCCCTCTCTCCTTCGTGTCGTCCTCCCCATCCTTTCCTCCTTGCGTCCCTTCTGGGCCTCCTTGTCCCCCTTCTCGTCCACCTCCCCTCCTACTCCTTCGATGACGCCGCTCCCCGTGGCCCTCCTGCTTCCCCCCGTCCTCCTTGTGCTTTCCTGGGGAGCCCGAGAGGAGAGCGTCCAGGAGGGGGGTTCGCAGATCATGGCCCGGAGCATGCGAGCGACCATGGGGGGGGGGGACCAGGCGACGCAGTGAGAGAAGAGGGGGCCACGAGATCCAGGGGAGATCTCTCATGGCTCTGGCCATGATGTCCCCCCCCCCCCTTGCTCAGCACCCCCATCTCTGCCGCCCCCGACGTTCGTCGTCGGCGGCGGCGGCGTGCCCCTGGCCTTCACCAGGCCGGGCTTGCCGCAGGCGACGATGAGGCACTCGGCGTCCCGAACCACCTCCTCCAGATTCTGCGTGAACCTCGGGGCGTCGGCGCCCGCCGCCGTCGTCGCTCGTCGTGGTCGTGGCGGTCCTCTCCTCCTGCTCCCCGTGCCTTGTCTCCACCACTCCTGACTCACCCCCTCCTCCCCCTCGCCATCCTCCCCCTCCCCCTCCGCCCCTCCCCCTCCCCCTCCCCCCTCCCCCGTGGCGCCGACCAGAGTGGTTTCCCAGGCACCACCCCGCCCTCCCCTCGGGCGGACCCCCCAAAAGCCCCCAGGGCCCCCCAGGACCCAGGAGGAGGAGGAGGAGGGAGGAGGATGAGCAGGGAGGAGGAGGAGGAGGAGGAGGAGGAGGAGGAGGAGGAGGAGGAGGAGGAGGAGGAGGAGGAGGAGAGGGAGGAGGAGGAGGAGGAGGAGAAGAGGAGGAGAAGAGGAGGAGGAGGAGAGAAGGGCAGGAGGAGGAGCAGGAGGAGCAGGAGGAGGAGTAGGAGGAGGAGGAGGAGGAGGAGGGACTTGGGGGCCCGAGGCCACCGGAGCCCCCGAGAGCGCGCACACAAAACGCACCGAGAACTGCCCCGAAGAAACCCTTTGCAGCCCCAGGGCAGCCTCCTCCACTCATTTTCCTGATGCATATCTCCTCTTTGGACGCCCGAAATGGGTACGGAAAGAATGGGCACAATGCCCAACAACCAATGTTGTCCCAAACAAACAGCGGCCGCTGTTGGGCAGGCGGCCTTCTGTCTAAAGTGGACACAGGCCGCGGCGGCGCGGACAGCGAGTCCTGTTCAAAATGAACAAGAACTGCTGTTGGGCATCGTACCCATTCTTTCCGTGCCCATCTCGTTCGTGCAGATCCTCCCTGTCGCACCTCCAGTCGTGTCGGCAGGGCGTTGCGGGCGTTTCGCCTGACACGCCCTGGCCAGCCGTGACCCTGGCGCTTGGAAGTTTCAATAATTTCAAGGATGGAGGGCGAATCGATTACAAGATGCCGTTCTCGCCTGAGCCCTGCGCACATTCGTCCTAAATTAGGCAACCTTTTCAAGGATGGAGAACGGGCCGTCTTCAAAACATGGTATTCGCCTTAGCGCCACGCATGTTCGTCTGAACAACTAGAGGCGCTTTCAAAGATGGAGGGTGGCTGGTTCTAAACAGGTGGCAATGCCCTCAGCGCCGCACGCATTGGCACTACCTGCTTGTAACAAAATAAAGAATGAGGGGCCGCTCCTTCTTCCAAATATGGTTCTCGCCATCGCGCCACGCGCATTCGTCCTAAACGCTACAGCAACCTCGAATATTTTTTGCATGGCTGAAATCCCAAGAACGGTGCTCTGGTATGATGTAGGACTCATGACGCAACGATGAAGTTAGTTCGCGGTGCTGATGTCCCAGAATTGACGGCCTGGCACGATTTACCATTGCAACCACACAACAAACAAGCTTATTCGCGGCGTCGACGCCGCTCAAACTGCGACGTGGCACGACTCGGGAATCCCAGGCGTGTGTCTTCCAATGGAACACTCCCCTCAATGGACATACATTACTGTGGCGGCCTACGAATTGAAAACATAGGGGGAGGTTGATCGCAACAGTGTCAACGCGCTGCGGGTTTGTATTGGTTCCATTCTTCGTCGTCGTCGTCCTCCTCCTCCTCCTCCCTCCTCCTCCTCCTCCTCCTCCTCCTGCTCCTCCTCCTCCTCCTCCTCCTCCTCCTCCTCCTCTAGGGGCCACCAGCCGACGCTCGGGGACTCGGCAGTTGAAGTTCGCAGACTTGGCCTCGGACACTCGCAGAGGTGGCCAATAGCATTCTCAAATTGGGCCGCTGAATCGAGAAGGTTCTGATGCCAAGACTCGCGAGGCTGTATTTCAAGCATCGATGATCCAGAACGCACGCATTCCCGTAAACACCCCTCGTCGTTCCTCCCTTCACTTCCCCCCTTTCCTCCCAACCGCCTCCCCTCCCTCTATCCTACCTCCTTCATCCTTCCTGTCCTCCTCCTCCCTCCTCCCTCCCTCCTCCGTCCTTCTGGTTTCCACTCCCCCCTCAAATCTCCACCCTCCTCTAATCTTTCGCATTCCTCCGTCCCTCTCTTGTTCCACATCGCCCTCCCTCCTCTGCCTTCCCCTCCTCCCACCTCACCGCCCCTACTCCTCTAATTTGCCTTCAGCGTTTTCCTCGTCCTCATCGTCATCATTAGCCCAATGCTGCTGCCCACCCTCCTCTTCCTCCTCCTCCTCCTCTCCCCTTCCTCCTCCCCCTTTAGGGGAACGAACAATGACATAAACATAAAAACTCGGACCTCCGAGTTTTCATGTTTATGTCACTTTTTGTTCCTCTATGGATGCGGACGCCCAGAGCAGGACGAAGCCAGGACGAAGACAGCATCGGGTGTGGATAGAACGAGAACCCCTGAAAGCTGGCGGCCCCGAAGGGCAGCGAGGAGGCCACAAGGGGGCCACGAAGGGCTGCAACGGGGCCACGAAGGGCAGCGAGGAGGCCACGAGGGGCTGCAACGGGGCCACGAAGGGCAGCGAGGGGGCCACGAAGGGCTGCAACGGGGCCACGAAACAAAGCGAGGGGGCCACGAAGGGCTGCAACGGGGCCACGAAGGGCAGCGATATCCCGATTCCTAGGTAATATGTGAGGGAATCCTAAACGTGAACGCGACTCCTGGGTGCCTGGGTGTCGGGAGCGCGGCGCTTGAGTAAATTGCAGGAGAGTCCAACGCAAGGGCGCTAGTCTATAGTAAATTGCAAGCAAGTCTCCAGCGAGAGCGCGACTCCAGAGCGCCGGGAGAGCGATTCCTGAATAAATTGTGAGGAAGTCCCAAGCGAGAGCGCGCTTCCTGAATAAAATGCGAGAAAGTCTCGGGCGGGAGCGGGGGTCCTGGCTATATTGTAAGGAACTCTCGGGCGGGAGCCGTGGTTGTTGTAAACCGGGAGCCAACGACACAATTTGACCCTCAAGACTTTCCCTGATAAAAAAACAGGGTGCGAGCCCCGGGAAAGGCACTCCAATCAAAAAAAACAATGTGCACCAGACGGGGGGGGATCAACAATTATTATTCTTCAGAAATGAGAGCTCAACAACAACAACAACAACAACAACAACAACAACAACAACAACAACACCAACAACAACGCAAGGACACTCTCTCAGGCCACCCCGGCGGGGCCCGTGGGAGTGTCCTCGCCCCCGGGGCGAGCGCACTGCCCCAGGCCACACGTTGCAGTTGTTGCCCCGGGGGGGGGGGAGCAACGGGCAACACCTCTGTCATACGCTAACGTAAATCTATATGTGTTTCCGAATCTCCGTGGGCTCCCTTACTGTTCCCCACGCACTCCTGTGTCCGAAAACCGAAACCGACCGCGCGCCAGCGAGGCCAGCTCCTCCTCCCTATAGGACTCCTATGGAATCGTGCGGGACCCTGTAAGGATCCTGTAGGATCCCTATAGGCTTCCTATGGAATCGTGCAGGACCCTGTGAGGATCCTATAGGATCCCTTTAGGGTTCCGATGGAGTCGTGCAGGACCCTATGAGACCCCCCTCGGATTCCTATAGGGTTCCTATGGAATCGTGCATGACCCTGTAAGGATCCTATAGGATCCGGATTCCTTTAGGGTTCCTATGGAATCGTGCAGGACCCTGAAAGGATCCTATCGGACCCCTATAGGCTTCCTATGGAATGGTACAGGACCTTGTAAAGATCCTATAGGATCCCTATAGGCTTCCTATGGAATCGTGCAGGACCCTGTAAGGATCCGATAAGATCCCTATAAGGTTCCGATGGAATCGTGCAGGACCCTGTAAGGATCCGATCGGATCCCGATAGGATTCCTATGGAATGGTGCAGGACCCAGTAAGGATCCTATAGGATCCCTATAGGGTTCCGATGGATTCCTGCAGGACCCTGTGAGGATCCTATAGGATCCCTATCGGGTTCCGGTGAGATCCTGTAAGACCCTGTAAGGATCCTATAGGATCCCTATAGGGTTCCTATGGAATCGTGCAAGACCCTGTAAGGATCTTATAGGATCCCTATACGGTTCCGATGGAAGCCTGTAGGGCCCTGTAAGGATCCGATCAGATCCCTATAGGGTTCCGATGGAATCCCGCAGGACCTGTAGGGATCCTATAGGATCCCTATAGGGTTCCGATGGAATCGTGCAGGGCCCTGTGAGGATCCTATAGGATTCCTGTAGGGTCCCGATGGAATCCTGTAGGACCCTGTAAGGATCCTGAAGGATCCCTATAGGGTTCCTATGGAATCGTGCAAGCCCCTGTGCGGATCCTATAAGATCCTTATCGGGTTCCGATGGAAGCCTGTCGGACCCTGTAAGGATCCTATTAGATCCCTATAGGGTTCCGATGGAATCCCGTAGGACCCTGTAGGGATCCTATAAGACCCCCCTCGGATTCCTATAGGGTTCCTATGGAATCCTGTAGTATTACAATAGGATTCCTGTGAGGATTCCTATAGGATTGCGATAGGGTTGCTAGGGGTTCCATCGGATTCCACTAGTATTACACTCGGATTCCTACGGAATCCTGTAGGACGCTGCAGGGATCCTATAGGATCCCTATAGGGTTCCTATGGGATCCTGTAGGACACTGAGGGGATCCCATAAGATCCCTATAGGGTTCCGATGGAAGCATGTAGGACCCTGTAAGGATCGTATCAGATCCCCATAGGGTTCCGATCGAATCCCGTAGGACCCTGTAGGGATCCTATAAGACCCCCTATCGGATTCCTATAGGGTTGCTATGGGACCCTGTCGTATTACAAAAGGATGCCTAGAGGATTCCTATAGGATTGCGATAGGGTTGCTAGGGATTCCATCGGATTCCAATAGTATTACAATGGGATTTCTATGGAATCCTGTAGGACCCTGTAGGGATCCCATCGGATCCCTACAGGGTTCCTATGGGATCCTGTAGGACACTGAAGGGATCCTATAAGATCCCTATAGGGATCCGACGGAATCCTGCAGGACCCTGTGAGGATCTTACAAGATCCCTATAGGGTTCCGATGGAATCCCGT